ATAAAGCGTCTGCCGATGAAACGGTTGCGCTTATTAAATGGATGGACAAAGTAGTGGCAGAAGGTAGTAAGTGCGCTTTTTATACCAACGAAGGACTGGTTGCGGTGCTGGCGCATTTTTACTTCAAGCTATTTGCCCGGCAGGAAAAAAAGACAATCAGGACATGGGCTGCCTTGATTGCCTCACCCTATTTCAGGGCATTACTTAAAACCTATACCCTGAGGGATCTTATCTATTTACTTAGAAAGTAAGCCACTATTTCAGCATCAGGAACGGTTTATTCGCATCATTGTAGCGGTAATAGATTAGCATCAGCGCACAGGCATAAGGCGGCAGGCAAGGGATCCGGTACCTGGAAAGCGTACCGAAGTTGCCGGATGATAGCCCGACCGAAAAGGCAAACACAATCGAAAACATCAGGAAGAACTGAATGTTCGGATCTGCCGATATAGCGGCCCAGATATTCTTGGGACCTACCGTAATAAATAGCTTGATCGTAAAGACGAGGAATAAAAACGCTTCAATGGCATTCAGCAGCGAAAATATATTACGGGCCTCCCATAAATAAGGCCGGAACAAGGATACATTGACCGCCGCCGGAAATGTTTTCAATAGACCAAGCGGCGTTGGGTCTATCGTTCCGATATTATACGCAGAGCCTTCGTCTGATGTAATGGAAAGAATATTTTCCCGGGTACGGGCGGATGTTTTCGCAAACTCTTCTACCGAGTAGCCACCCAGCTCATTAGAGAATTTACCGGCAAAGGTGACAAAGCCGAAGATTCCGCCACCTATAATGATTACTTTAATGATCCACCTTTTATAAGCCTCCCGGATTCTGTAAGAATACTGCAGGAATATCCATAAGGTAATGGCCGGTACGAAGGCTGCAAGAATGTATATTTTGATATTGGCAATGAGCCAGAAGCAGAAGACACCCATGAATATGGTAAAGGGCTTGAACTCTCGCTGGACCAGGAATTTAAAGGCGGCGAAAATGATCCACCCAAGGCAGAACATACAAATGGAATCTTTAAAGATACCCGAGCCCCATATAATAGTCGATGGTATGAAAAGGATCGCAATGGCCAAATGTTTTACCAGTGTGGGGTATTGCGTAGCAAATGTGCGGAACATAGCCCATATGCCGGTAAAAGACATCACCGCAAATAATACGGCGGTAGGAAGATACGTATTAAAGGCAAAGATGCCCAATACCGCAGCCACACTACTTACCGCATAGTTTTGAACTGCATCATACCAGTGAATCTGGGATACCCATTCATAATAATCACCATCGTACCAGGAGGGCATATGGAAAACGAGATTCAGCCATTTATAGGGACTTGCCGTGAAAGAACTATTAATCACTCCTGCAAAATGGAAGAAGTGATACGTATCTCCGCCTCCGTAGTGAAACTGGTAAGTGAGCCCGATAAAGATGGCCCCAAAAACCTTCACGGTTAGTGCCGGCATAAAGTATTTCCGCCATGGATGCCCTTCGTGGTATAACTTATTACGAACTTGATAAGCTAGAAAGAATATCAGCATTAAGTAAAAAGGTAACAACAAGTAGTCCGTTATTGTTATAAATTGCATCCGCTTAGTTTGTTCAACTTCAAAATATTTTCCTCTACAATGTGTGGTATTACTGGGCTTTATGCTTTTAAGAAAGATAAAGCCGCCGAACAGATTGCAAAAGTAACGCAATCCAATCAGAAAATGCTTCTGCGTGGTCCGGATAGTGGTGATGTATTTATTAATGATCGTGTAGGGCTCGGACATCGTCGCTTATCTATTATTGATACCAC